CTGTAGGAGTCAGGCTGGTGTTTTGCCAGAAAATGTGATTTTGGGGAATTCTGTGGAAATTTCAAGAGGCTGTAAACAAAAGCTGTCTAGCAAAAGGCATGAAATCCAATAGTTTTGTCTCCTGAAATACTTATTTAAGAAATACTATAAATATGTGAACAATTGAACAGTGCAAGGGTGGGAGAGGATCTTTTTTTCATCCTCCTTTAGTTTCCTTCTAGCCAATCTCATTTAAGCATCAAGATGACCAATTTCTAACTTCACCCAGCAAAAAAAAAAAAAAAATTATTTTTTTTCACTCTGCTTAAATTTTAAGCTTGGTGTGGGATTTTAGGAATGAAAGTTTTTACAGAAATTGGCAATGCCAATAAGACCTATAGTTTTCAACGGAAACTCAACCCAGGCTTCATCAGTTCAGCTTCTAATACACACATGTGTGTGTGTGTGTGTGTACAGCCTCTGCTACACTTCTTTTAGAAAGAACTTGAAGTTAGACTGCAGTTCAGCACGTTATCTGAATATTCTCCATAGGTACATATGTACCCAGCTGACTAGCTGCTAAATAGATAGCTCCCCTAGAAACATTGCCCTTACACTTTTAATATCATAAAGGCCTTCTGTTTTAATTCCTTGTACATAAGCAAAAACAGAATGGGTTTCAATGCGAATAGGACAAGAAAATGGGATGCACATGTGTGTGAAGTTAAACATATATGTAAGTGTTTAAAGTACTGCAGCCTCTACTAATTAAAATTACAGTTTTAGTAACTTTTAAATACTTTTTTCACTCAAAATGGCTGATGAATGGCTTTTTATCCTTGTTTGGAAATATATTTTATTTTTAATTTATTCAGTTTTTTCAGACTGCACAAAACAAAGTTCTTACTTGTAGAGCAAATAGAACAAGCCATAATGCTGGAAAACTGCTCTATGTCTGCTTGAGTCTTCTCCCCGTTTTTCTTAGTTATTACAGACAGCTTGAAATGCCTTCCTTTTTTTTGTGCTCATATACAATGCCTATCTTGCATCCATATTTTTTTATCCTCTAGATCACACTATATTAAAACAGTATGAAATTTAAATTTCTTTTTGGCAATGCATCAAAATTATTTCAGGGGTAACCTTGCTCTTAATTTTCTATTAATAGGTAGTAATTTTGCAACAATTTTTTTTCTGACAGTCATTACTTGTCAAAAAGGATTTTTGTGTTTCTCAAAATGGATAGCTTAGTGCCTTTTTATTGCTTCTAAGCCTAAACTTCAGCAAGTGTGTGGTCAAGTATACCAGAAAAACCCTTTGTCCATTGTTAAACCTTATGAAATTGTAGATCAAAAGAATTTTCCTATCTTACAAGGACTGTGGTACTATTCATGGGCTAAAAATGACTGTCAAAGTAATAAAACAACTACTGTTGTCAGGGAAAGATTAAAAGCAGCAGCTGGATTGTACACAGTCAACTTTAAAATCTTTCTCTAGGAAGGTAGATGCTTTAGAAAATGATCTAGCTTTTCAGCTGACTTGCCATGATTGGCAGTCCCATAAAATGGCTACTGACACAAGAACTTGCAAAAGAAAGAAGCCTTTTTTTTTCCCTATAGAGAGAATATTCTGATTCTTGCCTTCTCCCAAATTGGACTCTGCACTTGGAAGTGAGATGTACTGCAAGTGTCATGGCAGTGATGGGTGCCAGCCTCTTCCTCTGTTTTATCCAATTTACCTATCTTCTTTTTTTTCTGAAATCATTCCTGCTGTCAGTTTTCTGCAGCTTGTATTTTAACCTATGTTATTTTTACTATTTTAGTTTTGTTCTTCAAGTTCATCTTGTGTATTTCTCCTTAAATTCAGTATATGGCAACATCGGTTTCCATGTCATTTTTCTGAGATTGTAATCAGCTGGAGCAGTACCAAATACATTTACCCTCCATTCATATTCTACCTTTGCCCCTTGTACCAAGGAGGGAAATTTTTCATTTGTCTCCAAACTTCTCGCCATCCTGCTCCTCAGATTAGCATATGTGGAGTCTTTGAAACTTTATTTATACACGGTCAGTGTAATGGTTTCTTTAAATCCTTATTTTCCACTTTCATTAGCTTTCTTATTTCTAGTCTTCCAGACTGTCTTGTTCTACTGAATGAAGTGGACTATCTTTCTATCTGTATCACGAGATTTGGCCATCTGTCTTGCACTTGCTGGTGATTTTCCCCAGACTGTCATTGTCTTTGGGGTTTTATTTTTCTATACCTTTTTGATTTATATTTATTTCTTAAACTCTTCTCTCAAATATTTCTGGCTACATAACTTGTTAACCTGGAGGTTAGTTTATTTTATCCCTACAGCACCACTGGAAAACAACTGAGTGGTTTGCCAATGCTTTTTTCTCCCTGGCTTCTGATTCCAGCCCTCCTAGTATATCAGATTGTAATTCTGGGCTCCATGTTCCCCTGTGAACATCACTGTACATCTCCTCACTTCTGCTTCGCTATGTTAATAAATGTAAGACCTCTCTGTCTGTGCTGTTTTCCCCTATGGTTGTGTGCAATGAAGTTATGAAATGGACAGCTTTGTTCCACTACCTCTTTTTTTTTACATTGACTGGTCTTAAAACCATGTATGTGTTTGGCTTTTGTGGGTCTAAGAATGCATGTGTGTTGCATAATTTGTCATAACTCAAATTCACTAGTGGTGGCTGTGCCAGGCCTGTAACCTGCCCATGTACATTTTCTTCTTGCCCCTTTAGATGCTGGGCTTGGAACACACTGCCTCACAGTTATCAGGTAACATCAGCTGTGCTCTTAATTTCTGTGCTGAGGGTAGAAAACTTCATCTGGGTGCCAAAAGTTACTGTCCCTTCTTACCTTTTTTCAGTGCCCTTCCTGAAAACACAGGCTCCTACAGCAGGTGATGGCTGAACTGCTTCAGAAGGAATGGCGTGCAGAAGAGCTGCTGAGCAGGTGATGGATGTGACGCTGGCAAGACGGCAGGCCATGTGGTCCACCCCCTCTGCAGTTACCCTGCTTACAAACTTCCTTCACCCAAAGCTATAAGCACCACCGTCTGAGTGCCTTCAGCTTCTTTTCGGGCTCAGGCACCAAATCTCACCCTTGCTGACCGTGGACCTTGAAAAAGAAAAGTACAATGTCTGATTTTTATTTTTTTTTCTTTTTTTCAGATCTTTCTGAAGGAGAAACACAGATAAAAGCAAAGCTCTTTGTGACTGATTTTTTCACTATCTACTTGAAAGGCAGTGGGTCAGAATTAAGGCATTTGTGTTGTGGAGGAAATGTGTGGGATGTTGGCTGCAAGCCAGTAGCCACTAACATCCCTGATGCACTAGGAATACATGAATGAAGTGGGAGTCAACCTCAGGAGAGCGGGCAGCAGTACCTACATTAGAGGAAAACCTCTTCATTCAGATTCAAGGGGTAAAAATATTGAATGGAGATAAACTGGTCTGGTACATTTTTCTGGGAGAAACAGTGAAAATGCAGGAACCATCATCCAGTCTGGAAGAACGTCCTCTCTGGTTCTGTGCTTGTGAGGTTGTATTCATTCTGCAGGAAAAAGAGACCTCTACAGTTCTTGACTTCTCTGATGATGATTTTAAAGTTTCATCTTCTAGTTCTTTTTTCTCAGCAGAAAGAATAATGAAATAACATCTGGAAACTTTCAGCCAGTAGTCCTTGTTATAGCCAATCCTCTAGTATCTTCTTTTTTTTTTTTCTTTTTCTTTTTCCAAAACCAGAATAAAGATCTGAGGTGTAGAATATGATTTATCCAGACAGTCATCCTGCTTGTGTCCAGCTGAATAACCACTAGGGGAAAACAAGTGATTTCTAGAGTTCTTTTGTACTACTAAACTATCAATCTGATCTGAAGGATCAAACAGAATACCCCCAGTGTTATCTTTCCCATTGTTATCTGCCCTAGTTACAGAGTTAAGTCATCATGAGTCAGCCATTGGTTCTATCTAGTCTAAATATGACCACATTTTTCTTGAATCAAGGCCATCATCAAAACATCATGCCTGTGAAATAGTCTTGAAATAGTGTTTCTTTCCAGCTCCAGTAATGTGACACGTAAGCAACAGATATTTTTTGTCCAAAACTATAGATCTGTTTTCAGTATGCATAAGAGAAAGGCGATTCCCATCTTATTTGTTTCATCATCAAGTTACTAGTAATACAGTCATTTTTTTCAAACAAGGAAAATGGCAATGATGGAAAAAGGGAAGTGAGTATTTTGGGTAAGTGTTGGCACTGGGTGAAAGAGGCCACATAATGACAGAATGGCTGGAATACAGCACCACAAATACTTTAAAAAGTTCTTCCTGCATGGAAAATAAAGAGATCCTGGGTGAGTGACATAGTTATTTCTTTGTAAATCTAGATGTTTACATGGTAGTGATAATTTAGATTTCAGACACAGTTGTGCATGTTGGCTCAAACATGTCTGGCCTAAAACACTTGGGGTTATACAAAAATTAGGGTTTAGGGGTTCCAAATTGATGGCTGACTGATGTGGATGAAAAAAGTGAATCTGAGCAGGATTTGTGAAAACTAGACCCATGAACTGGAACAGGTCTACCAAAGCAGACAAGGTAATTATTTGCTTTGCTTTTATTATGGATCATAGCTTTGTGCTGACAATTTGCATTTCAAATTCTGGTTTTGGAAATGATCTGTAACAGTGTGTTTGTGGACAATTGGTTTGCAATGTCCTATGTCCTGGGCAGAAAGACTAGCTTTGGTGTCTCAAGGCTGTGTAGTTCCTGTGGCTGGTAAACTTAAAATCACCAGCCAACAGAGCAGGTCTAAGTGGTTTGATGGGCAATGTCTAGTATGAATCAAGCCTGTAAGACCAGAGAGAAAAATGTACTTGATAGAGCATAACTAATTGTTAGACTTCTAATGAATTGGAAAAGTGAATTAGGGCTGCAGCTTGAAAAAGGGGGTGAGGATGAGGAAATGTGTAGCCAGGAGGACCCATTAACTGATGCAGTTGCCAAAGTGAGTGTGGACATCCGTGAGAAGGCATAGAACATAGCCAGGAGTCAAAGACTGGGAAGAGGAGAAGGACCTAGAAGAAAACTTAATGGCATCAACATAGGAAGGAAAGAAGGAACAATGCAGAGAAGGTTTGCATGTAATACTGGAAGATACTTAGACATTTCAGCAAGAAAAATGGGCTTAGGGGTGATACAGTCTGGAAAGTGGAAGAAAATAATGTAACTGTAATGTCTTCCGCTGTGAAGAACCTTTCTTTTTCTGAGTTCCCTGGATAGGAAGCAGCAAATTAGTAAATCCTCAAAATGAATTTTGAAAGTAACCACACTTTCTGCTCTGAGAGAAAAGTTTAAAATGTCTACCATAGTTTTTGTAAAGAAAGGGGAAATGTGCCGGAGGGCTGAAAGTTCTTACGACCAAGTTATAAACCTTTGAAAATAGGATTTTATAATGGAAATGCAGAGATCATTAACTATTGTAAGCACCTCTAAGAATGACACCTCTATAGTAAATTACATTCAAATTAATATAAAACTGTAAAGATTCCCTGACAGCTTTGATTATGTAAGTTGATTTCAGTAGTTAAATGTTGACTTTCTATAATGTATTCTCCAAATATTATACTGAATGCTGCATCATATATAACAATTACTATGTCACAGTGCTATTTTGTGTAAATTAAATTATTGACAGCAATATAATTTTGTATTCACTTTATTATTTTGATTCATTTTTCTGTCAAAATATACAATGACTCTTCACTAGATTTAGAAACCAGAAAAACTCTTTAGATTGTGAAGTATTATTCTACATACATTATTTTTCCTTTGCCTGTAATGAGGTTGGGGGATAGAAAGGGAAGCAACATTTCTTTCCTTCTCTGACACTGTGTGTGTTTTTTGACATGTTGTCAACTTTAAATCATATTACAGTAAGCGTGCTTATTAGAAGGCCTGCAAAGTCCATGTCAGGCCTGGGCAGCCTATCCAGGCATGCTGCAGGCCTGGTGTTTTCGGTGTAATCCAGCACAAGCACTATCCTAAATCACGGGACGGGGTTTATGATACGGTGATTATTCAGCCTAAATTTAAGGAACGTCTGTTTTACATCACAGGGTGAGTACTTCCTGTTCTTGATAATTTTGTATGAATAAAAGTGAAAAACATCATCTGTTTGGTGCTGCTGTCTCTTCACACCTTTTCTTCCTCTGTCCTTTGTAGGTTATGGCAACAGGGGTTGTCCCTGCTTCCATGTCTGGGAAGTACTTGCAGTTTGTAGTTGTAACTGCAAATTGATACTTGCAACAGAACACTTACAGTTTTCTCATTAACCCTCTTCCAGATGCACAGCCTGTCAGCTCCTCATGACCTGCTAGAAGCTAGAGTGAGGAAATAGGGACACCAGCTGCATCTTCCTACTGGATTTTGGCTCTTCTCCAGACAGGTACCCTGACCTCTGCTGTGGAGCCAGTCCAGCTAGCTTACTTCATGTAAAGTTCAAAGTCTGCATTAGAAAGACATAGGCAGGCCCCAGACTGTCTAAAACATGGTTTGGGGCATTGTCCTACAAGGTGGTGGAAGAAATGTGCTCCGCTGCATTTAGACAGAAAAGAAGGCTGAGTCCAGCATATCACACACTGTGTGCAAGGACTATAACTCTGGGTATAAAAATCCTTCCCTTCCGGGTGGTGATAAAAAAGGCTCACAAAATGCTCACCTTAGCTGGTCCAGACTAAGGAGGTTGGGAAAAGCCTGCTTTTCAAATCTCAGTGGTGTTTAGTTATGGCTTAGATAGAGCTGAGCCTTAGACACATCTGCATCTGCTCAATAATAAAAAGCAAAGGCACATGGGCATTCCTGAGAGCCCGGGGAGCAGTTTGTTGACCCTGGGTGAGTGCAGACTTGTCTGTGGCCATACAACTGTGGACTAGCTCCCTCTTCAGCAAACTGGCCTGGGTCTGTGTCCCATGTATTGCCCTAGGAGCCTTAAATCCAAAGATTATTTTTCAGATGCTTTTTACAGCTGTGTCATTCAGCTCTGCTGAGCATGTGGAATTGAGGAGACCAAGAGGAAAACTGCAAGTTGCCAGCATGGTGAGTATGGGACAGGGCGTAAGAGGTAACAGGGAAGGGCTAAATCCTCTGTGAGTTCATCATGGATTTAGCAGTGTTTTCAAATGCATCCAAGTTCATTTGTCTGTTGACCTGAAGTTGGAAATATATAAATAAAATATATTCACTTTCTATGGCAGCACAGAATTGCAAAAACTTATCTGATACCAGTGAAATATGCTTAGCCATTAAGCTTGCCTTTAATTCATTACGAAATATTATCATATTCTTATATCCACTACATACACCAAATTGAGCTCAGTTTTAAAAGACAGAAGCCCAAAGAGATACTTGGCAGTCTCTGTGGGGGATTAGTGGCAGCGCTGACAGTAGATGTCACATCTTAGCCTGGATCATTCTTTTTTCCCTTTGCTTAGCCTCTGTTTGACATAGCACATTCAAGATCTGAAGAGTGGTGGCAGTAGTAGCAGTGTGGACACAGAAAAGAATGTTTGCTTAAAGACTGATCTGTTTTTCTGTTAGATGGTCTGATTGAAAAACATTAGAGCTGTGTCAGCCCTGCTCTCCTAAGATATCGGTATCGATACGTATTCTGCTGGCAAACTGAATTTATTAACAGTTATTGCAGAGACAATAGTGGAAGCCCCATGTCATCATGACCATTTGTGTTAGCTGCTTTATGAAATCCCAGTAAGTCATTGATGGATAGAAGAATCATTTCCTTCGGGCCTGTTGTCTAACTTCTAGCAGCCATCCCTCTTTTGATTGTTTAACTTGTAAGGAGAGATCTTGTCCATACATCTTTCTGTGTGCAATTTCACATATCTCCCTGTATGAAGCAGTTTCACACACAAAAAAGCATACAGCGGTACAGTTTTAATAGAACTGGCTTCACTTGGGAGCAGACAAATAGACTTGGGTCTTCTGGCACGGGCACAAAACACTAAGCTGTGATGCTGAATTTCTCATTTGGCCTCATTTCTTGTTTGGTTTGCCAATGTGGGAGTTAATTGTATAAACACAGAAATATGGGGGATAGGGATAAATACGTTCTGTACTCTCCTGTTTGTATGGCTCTGCTTCTCACTAGTTTTGTTACTGCATTGCTTACAGCAGTTTAAAGGGTGATGAGGAACAGGTGGTGAAGAGAAGTTAATGTGAGAGGACATGGAGAAATCATGTTCCTTGATAGGAAATTGTTCCTCCCAGCGTATTTCTGTTCTATCCCATACAAATGGGACTCTTTAACAGTATTCTGTCACTATACCAGAATATACAACGGCATTGAGTTCAAGTGTTAAACAAGTATATGCCCTGTTTCAGCTAATTCTGGCATCTGAGATTCTAGGTGGCAGTCATCCCCCTTGATACTTAAGTGCTCAGACATTGTGGTGATGAGCTAGGCCTTGTCAGAAACTCGGGTTACTAACCTGGAGAGAGGAATTTTTGCACAAAAGGAAGATTTAAAGATAAAACAGAGGAGACAAAAACTAATAGCTGGTTAAGTTATCCCAGGAGTTGGGAAAGACAAACCTGCTGGGCAGGTATTCCCTAACAGTATAATTTTGAGTTTACTAGCCTGTCTTCTCCTCAATGTATCCTCTATTTGTTCAAAGAAAATCATCTGCTCCTCTCAGTTATTTCAAAGTAAAGTCACAAGAATAGCTTGTTCCCACTCTATTCCAAATATAGCTGTTGACAGCAATTGCTGAGATAAGGGGGAAGGAAAAGGAACTACCAAGGAAGAGGAAAGGCAGCAGGGGGAAGAGAGAAAGGAGAGCTGAAGAAGTTGGACAATAGAGAGTAGAGAGACATAAATGAGATGGGAGTTGGAAGAACAAGGACAATACATCGCAGAAAGAAAACAAAACAAAGACAGAAACAAACTCCTGCAAATCAGGTGGAAGCAGACCAAATACAGAATGAAAAGCACCATGCTCACCCTAAGGCGAAGTTTGAGTTTTAGACTTAAAAATTAACCAAACCTCATATAAAATCATGTCCAATTAAGACTTTTACTCAGACTTGTAGGGGTTATAGCATCAGAAAACTTGCACTAATTGCCTGAAGATGTAGCCCTACAAATTTTGAAGCAAAACATGTTGCTTATTTTAATTTCCTGTGGGATTTAAAAAAAGTAATAATCCTGCTCCAAGAGAATTTGTTGGCAGTTTCTGACAGAAAGTCATCCATTGGGTAACTTTGCTGAAGAGGAACCTGAACAGCCTTCTCCTCAGGAGTTCACAGTCAGGATGGTCTTCTGGTGAGACTGGAGCACGTAGACATGTCCTCAGGAGCAGAAAATAAACCATGATAAAAACTAAGGAAAAGCCAGAATCACACTCAGACTGACTTACCCAGCACAAAGAGCTGAGGGTTTTCAAGGCTCAAGGCAGATTGGTTTAAGACCAAAGCACAGGGAAATAAGACATAAATTTAAACAGGTTCTGAGAGTGGTACACAGACAGGGCAAAGGCAAATGAGTCCTTGGCAATCTAGAAATACTGTGAATGCTCCAGCTTCCCTGGAGGGGTGGGAAGCTTCTGAGAAACACCCCACACAGCTCTCCTGCTTCTCAAAAGACTGCCTGAAAAATGGTGCCAAAGTTCTGCTTTCTCTTCTGGTGGGCTGAAAAGAGATGCCATACATGGCTTTACTGCTCAGCTGAGGGTGAAAAGCCATACTCAGTACTATAAAAGTGAGTATGCCCAGAAAACCTTCTGACAAGCATTCAAAGTACTCAAACACCAGGTAGTGGGACTGACAAGAGAACTGAAATTGTCACACTTTCTGTTTTATTTCAGTCTTTCAAAGAAGAAGGCCACCTGCGTTGCTAGGGATGTGCTTGATTAGTCTCTCTCTGGACTAAAGGCCCAGGGCAGCCATGGGGCAAGGTGGCATTTGCACAAAGCAGAGGAGACACATTAGAGCAGGAAATACAATGGTAAGTGAAACTAGTTTTGGAAGAAAGAACTAGAAAGTAGAGCTTAGCAGTCAGACTGCTGTTATTTAGAAACAGTCACTATAATTTTGAGGGTCTTGTCCCATGAATGATACGTATATCCATGCTCTTCTCCCTGTTATGAGAAGCAACCTTTTTTTGTTGTTGTTATTCCTCCAGCAAGTACCACACAAAGCCAATATTTCAACCTTTTAGCAGGGATGCTCCCTCTGTGGCTTGCTTCCAGCACCTCTCTCAGGTGTGTGGACTCTGTCCTGACGCTTCTGGGACTACAGGAATCACAGCCTGTGGGCCTGTCGTCAGGCAGTTCTGCTGCCCTTGCTGGAATTCCCGACTCTACCGGACTATGCTTTGATGTCTCTAGGTAGCACGGTTGTGATGTAAAGTTTTCGGGGTGCTGTTACCCGGTGAAACACCAGCAGCACTCTCAGTCAGCCCAGGGCACGGCCTTCTGCTCAGCGTCCGCATCCCCGCCGACTCCAGGGAGCGCCTTCCCCCAGGAGAGGGCAGTGGAGCCCGCACACGCTCCCGGCTACCTCCCGCCGGCCGCGGCAGCTTCCGTTCCGCCGCTGCTACGTGAGGAACGAAAGCGGTGAGCAGAAGCAGGGCTACGGGTTTAATAAATGTGCTAGAAGCCATGTACGGGAAATGTTCTGCGCATTTAATAACGAGAAGAGGTTCTGGGCAAACGAGTTTGTTGTTACTTTTATTTGACTGGAAGTTTTCTCTGTCACGCACACTTGTTCTCAGCCGCACAACCTTAAACTAGTAAGTTGCTGATTCCGCACGGGTTTGTTTAATTCCTATGGCCCAAATTAGAAAACGTTATTGACATTTAAATAACTCTTCAGGATGCTGCTAAGGCTCTGCCAAGCCAAATCCTCACAATGAAGTCGTTTACTTCCTTAAAATTTACAGGCATTCATCCCAAGACAACAAGTAGCCTTGGCTGAAAACTGCAGAGTGTGGTTAAGGTACTGTAATTAAGGGCAGACTGGGATGCCTTCTCCTCTACTTTTTAACCATCCCCTTCCCCTAGCACATCAGCAGTTAGGCAGCTGTTTTCTGTAGGCTCGTGTTTACAGCAGGTTTCCCTGGCTGGGTACCACCAGGTTTAAGCAACAGGCCCATACAGGCTGAGAGTCTGTAGCACGCCTGTGAGGGACAGGCACAGGAGATTTCAGGGAAGTGGCTTTTGCCTACAGCCTGGGAATCCAGCAGGCACCACTGGCAAAACAAAAGGTATTGGGTTTGCATGTCAAGGTTTTGGTAGTGGGGATGCTACAGGGGTGGCTTCTGTGAGAAGCTGCAAGAAGCTTCCCCCATGTCCAATAGAGCCAATAGGCCAGCTCCAAGATGAACCCACCACTGGCCAAGGCCAAGCCCATCAGCAACAGTGGTAACATCTCTGGGATAGCAGATTTCAGAAGCGGAAAACAACCCAGGCAAATGCAGCCACAAAAAGGAGAGAGAATATGTGAAACAGCTCTGCAGACACAAGGGTCCATGTGGAAGGATGGCAGGAGCTGCTCCAGGCACCAGAGCAGAAATTCCTTGCAGCCTATGATGCAGACCATGGTGAGGCAATCTGTGCCCCTGCAGCCCATGGAGGTCCATGGAGGAGCAGATCCACAGAGGAGCAGATCCACCTGCAGCCTGGGTGGACCCCACCCTGGAGCAGGGGGATGCCTGAAGGAGGCTGTGACCCTGTGGGAAACCTGTGCTGGGGCCTGTCCTGGCAGTACCTGTGGAGAGAAGAGCCCACACTGGAGCAGGCTTGCTGGTAGGACTGGTGACCTTGGCCGGGGGGGACTCACACTGGAGCAGTCTGTTCATGAAGGACTGCAAGCCATGGAAGGGGTCCATGCTGGAGCAGTTCATGGAAGACTGTCTCCTGTGGGAGTGACCCCACACTGGAACAGTGGAAGAGTGTGAAGAGTCCTCTGGGGAGAGATAGAAACGTGTGATGAACTGACCACAACCCACCATTTCACATCCCCTGTGCAACCGTGGGGGAGAAACTAGAGAATTTGGGAAGAAAGTTGGCCCTGGGAAGAAGTGAAGGGTTGGAAGAATGTCTTAATTTTTTATTTCTCATTATCCTACTCTAATTTGATTGGTAATAAGTTAATTTCCCCAAGTCAAGTGTATTTTGCCTGTGACAGTAATTGGTGGGTGATCTTGTGTCCTTAATCTCAACCCATGAGCCTTTTGTCACTTTTTTGTTCCCTGCCTGGTTGAGGAGTGCAGTGATAGAGCAGCTTTGGTGGGCACCTGGTGTCCATCCAGGGTCAACACAGCACAGTAAATCAGAATTTCTTCCTGTGAGAACAAGACAAGTCCCTGCATTCCCCAGTGAAAGGGGCAAATTTGAAAACTCTGAAATTGAGCTCTGGAAAGTTCTCTTTTATGTGAAACACTAAGAAACCCCACCAATCCCAACCTGAATTTAGCCCAGACTTAGGAGAGACATCTCTTGCTGTTGTAAGACGACAGGGTCGCTCATCTCCTATCCAGGAACAAGTCCTACTCTCGAGGGCACCTGCTGAACCGGGGCCACCCTAACGTGGAAGTGGCAGGGTGCGTTTCCCAAGCAGGCCCACTAGCATTGCTGTGGTTAGCATGTGAGATTGGTTGATTTTTGCCACAAAAGGACAGTAACCCCTGGAGAGATGACTCAAATGGGATGTTAAGCTGGTTAAGTGCTGTTGCCAGCTCCACAGAGGATGAGCTGCCTTTTCTTGCCCAGCCACTCTCAAGCTCAGGTATAGAGGCAAGGATAATTTTATTTCTGCAGCTTCTGTCTCAGGTTCTTGTGGTAGAGAATGACTGCAGGAAAATACACCCAGTGCAGTGTCAGCTAGCACCTTGTTAAAAAGAGTAAATACTATAAATCCAAAGGTGGCTGGTTTCAAAGAAATTGGGAATAACAGAGAAGTTCTGCCCTTCAGCTCTGAAGCCTCCTCAGTCAAGGCTATACCCAGCCAGACACGTCATACTCATATGAAGTGCAGCTCCTCTTCGTAGTGCAAGTGGGGCTTGGGCAATTTAAACCAGCAATCTGTCCATCATATGAAACCACGTGGCTTATAGCAACCACAGGAATCAGTATGATTTTTTGTGTTTAAGGCTTATTGACGTCAGTGCGAATTGGACAGTCTAACCCCCAGAGTCTGTTATAATTAACCAAATGGGGATCAAAGGCTCTAAGCACATGCAAACACTACAGCAAGAATATCCGAAAAGGGACCAGAAACATTTGAGTTTCATCTGTCAACATGTTCCTGAAGACCAAACATTAACTATGTTTCCAAATTGCTCTGCACCAGATCCTGCTGCCATTAAGACAAAGCTCTCACGGAGAGAAGTCAAGTGATTTGATTGTCCTTATAAAGGCTGGAAATCAGGCACAATTTACCCCATTCTTAAGAAGCCTTTTAAAATTAACCAACAAATTCAACTAGTAGTAGAATCCCCTAGGTGAAGTAGCCAGCAGGAACGTTACATTTTATTCATATCCATCTTTCATTTAAACCTTCTCTGTAGCGGAAGAACACTAAATTTACCATGTTAGTTCAAATGTGGGATTGAGACACGGGGAGGTTAAGATGGGATGTGAAACCTTGGTTCTTCTTTCTCCTGTGTGGCATCAGCGGCATGTGATATTTTCAAATAACACAGGAAGATGTTGCAGGGTATCCCTAAAAACTGTATCTGATACACCTGTGACATTTTGCAGGAAGGAGAATACTGTGCTTAGAATTACCTGTTTCTCAAATTCATGTAAAGTAACTCACCCTAGCACACAACAGATTCCAATATTTTGTTCTTTCATAGTAGTGATTAGCCCAATTATAGCTCGGCTGTAATGGAAAGGTACAATACAATTGCTCCTACTTCTCAGTCAAATTTCCCAGAACCTGTCTCTCTCTCTCTCTGTCTCTCTGTCACAATTTTACTTTTAAATTGAGATAGGTATTTTAAACGAAAATATCTAGAATCCTCCTGAAATGGAACACGCGCTTCCTTTCAACTAAATCTTATATGCCAAACTGTATTGGCTGTACATTAAGTGCTAGAAGGGACTGGTAACAAAATCTACATTAAAAACCAACACGTACTATACGTTTACTAATTACTGGGCATACTTCCCCAGTCCACCTATCAAGGAAAATAGGTAGGTTTATGTCTACTATTCCCTAACAATTGTGACAACTGCCCCCAAAACCTTCACTTTTTCAGATACGCTCCTGTCTAGCCTGAGCTCCAAGGTGACCAGAGGAGTTGTAAACCTGGAGCCTTACTAATGGCAGTGAAAGAAAAGTGGAAGAACTGAAAAAGCCTTTCTCCGCTCGGGTGTGAGGTGTTGCATGGATAAAGAGAGGCCTGGGGGACAGGCACCTGGGGACAGCATTTGGGACCCAAGAGGGGGGTAAGTGCATGAGTCACAGGGACACCCAAGCACGCCACACGTCTGTGGCACACACTGTAATGTGCTAACCTCTGTAAATAGTGGTATCTGCAGTTAAAAATTAAAGTGAAGGGTGTTTAGCCTTCCCATGTATCCTCTGTCTCGTTGCTTTGAAGCAGGAGTATGCTTTTGTAACATCGCTCATATGTTGCCATGTCTTTCTGCTGCTTGGGTCATCAAGTGGGGTATTTTTACTTCTGCAGACCACTGAAGAGGGACCTTGCACGCTACAAACCATATGTGAGAGCTGCTTTCCAAAAGGCGGGAATAAACAGCCACGAGATGAAATATTCGTAAGTAACAAGATTAGTGACATGAGCATAGCATGGGATACAGCTCTCAGAAATCATTACATCTGACACCCTCATCAGCAAGAAGATGTAGGGGCTGCAAGCTCTCAGCTTGGGAACAGCATATGAAAGATGGGCTTCTCCTGGGAAGGGAGGCACAAGGGAGATTATTTTTAGTACTTGGAGAGGGGTAAAAAGAAGAAAAAGCTAGAATTTAAGCACTCTTTAGTTGGATACCCTCGTCGTGGAGGAGAGCATAGGGAAAGGAAAGCAAAAGGGAGTGGAAATGGCACCGGTCCCAGCAAGGGGGAGAGGCGGGGACGGGACGAGGCGGGGGGGGGGGGCGGGGGCCCCGCCGCCCCCCCCCCCCCCCGCCGCGCCCCCCCCCCGCCGCTCCCTCCGACAGCAATAACAACCCACCGACGGCGGAGCAGGCGGGGCCGTTCTCGCGGGGGTATATATAGATCTGACACTTTCCACTAAAAGCACGACGCGCTCGCTGCACTCAGCGGCTCTTTCCACCCGTAATTCACAAAAATAATATCTTTGTTGTTGTTGTTGTTAAGAAAGGAGCAGCCGGGTTCCGTGCATGCGGCTGTTCTCTGCCTCGCCGCCGCTCTGCGGTTAAGGGCTGCTCGAGAAAGTGAGCGGGGTCCGGCGGGGCGGCCCCGGGACCTCCTCTGCTTTTCCGAGCTTTTTAACATTTTCCGGAACGAGCCCTAAAAAGGACAGGCGGGGCGGGGCCGGATTCGAGCCTTTTTAGGACAAGGGCCCCGCCACCGGAATACCCCCCTGGGCGGCGCAGCAGGCGGCGGCCGGGCGCTGCCGGCGCGGCGGGGGCCGAGCGCGGCCGGGGCGGGTCGGGGCTGCCCCCGCGGGGCGCGCAACGCTGGGAGTAGGGGGGGAAAGGGGGGGAGTCGGGGCGGGAGCGGGGCGGCGGGTCCCGCATGCGGGCGCCCACGTGACTGCCGGGCCCCGTTCCTCAGTCCTTATATGGGCAGTGACGTCCCGGGCATTCAGGGGGCCCCCATAAATACTTACCGCCAGACTTGTCCTCCAGCGCGAGCTGCGGCGGGAGCGCGGCTCTCCCGGGGCACCGCGGGCACCGGCACCGCCGCGACGGGGCGGCCGCCCGCCCGCCCGCACATGCCCCCCTGCACGCCGCGCCGCCTGCCCGCAGTCCCCCCGCGCCGGTAGTGAGCGGCAGGGGGAAGCGCCCCCTCCTCTCTCTCCCCTCCCCGCCCCGAGCGCGCACCGCCGGCCGGGAGCAGCAGCTCCCCCGGCCGCCCCGCCGCCCCCATGATGACCGCCAAGGCGGTGGACAAGATCCCGGTGACCCTCGGCGGGTTTGTGCACCAGCTCCCCGAGGGCATTTACCCCGCGGATGACATCTCCGCCGCGCTGCCAACTTCGGTCGCGATCTTCCCCAATGCCGACCTGGCAGGGCCGTTTGACCAGATGAGCGGTGTGGCAGGAGGTAAGAGCTGCCCGCACAGGTGCGGGCCGGACCTCGGAGGGCGGCGGAGTCCCGGGGCGGCGGGAGGGCGGACTGGAACGGGGATCGCGGCCCCTAGGGCTCGCCCGCCGCCCTGCCGGGGGGTTCCCGCCGCCCCTCGCGGCAGCCCTGCCTCCGCGCCCGTTTCGGGGGGAAAAGTTGAGAGCGGCGAGGAGCCCCCGCAGCCGGAGCGCAACATGTGCGCGCCGCAACCCTGCGCCGGGCCGGGCTGGGTGGCGGTCGGGACCGGGGCAGGGCCACCCGGCGGGTGGCAGCGCGGCGGGCTGACCGGCTCCTTGCCCCCCCAGACGGCATGATCAACGTGGATATGGGCGACAAGCGGACCCTGGACCTGCCCTACGGCGGCGGCTTCGCGCCCAACGCCCCGGCCTCCCGCAACCAGACCTTCACCTACATGGGCAAATTCTCCATTGACCCGCAGTACCCCGGCGCCGGCTGCTACCCCGAGGGCATCATCAACATCGTGAGCGCGGGGATCCTGCAGGGGGTCAGCACGCCCTCCTCCTCCGCCGCCGCCTCCTCCGCCGCCGCCGCCTCCTCCGCCGCCGCCTCCTCGGCCACCGCTGCCTCCGCCGCCTCCGCCGCCTCCGCTGCCTCCCCCAACCCGCTGGCCGGGGCCCTCGGCTGCACCATGGCGCAGGGCCAGCCGCCCGACCTGGAGCACCTCTATTCGCCGCCGCCGCCGCCCTACTCGGGCTGCGGCGACCTGTACCCGCAAGACCCCTCCTCAGCCTTCCTGCCCGCCGCCGGTGGCGGGGCGCTGCCTTTCCCCCCGCCGCCCTCCTATCCCTCCCCGAAGGCGGCGGCGGCCGACGGCGGGCTCTTCACCATGATCCCCGAGTACGGCGGCTTCTTCCCGCCGCCCCAGTGCCAACGGGAGCTGCACGCCGGCCCCGACCGCAAGCCCTTCCCCTGCCCCCTCGACTCGCTCCGCGTCCCACCGCCGCTCACACCGCTCTCCACCATCCGCAACTTCACGATGGGGGCGCCCCCGGCGGGCACCGCCCCCGGCAGTGCTCCCGGCAGCGGCGGGGGCGAGGGCGCGGGCGCCCGGCTGCCCGCCGGCGCCTACAGCCCGCACCACCTGCCGCTGCGGCCCATCCTGCGGCCCCGCAAGTACCCCAACCGGCCGAGCAAGACGCCGGTTCACGAGCGGCCCTACCCCTGCCCCGCCGAGGGCTGCGACCGCCGCTTCTCCCGCTCCGACGAGCTCACTCGGCACATCCGCATCCACACGGGCCACAAGCCCTTCCAGTGCCGCATATGCATGCGGAACTTCAGCCGCAGCGACCACCTCACCACCCACATTCGCACGCACACCGGCGAGAAGCCCTTCGCCTGCGACTTCTGCGGCAGGAAGTTCGCCCGCTCCGACGAGAGGAAGCGGCACACCAAGATCCACCTGCGCCAGAAGGAGCGGAAAGGAGCCGCCGCCGCCGCCGGCGGGTGCCCGCAGCCCGGCGGCGGGAGCGGCGCTGCCACCCTGGCCCCCTGCGCGGCGCGGACGCGGACGCCCTGAGGGAGCGGGGCGCGCAGGACCCAGCGCTGAGCCGCCGAGCCGCGGAGTCGGGGAGCCACAGCCGAGCGCGGCGGAGCGCGGAGCGGAGCCCTGAGGAGCGCGATGAGCACTCGGCGGCGCCGCGGGCTCCTCCGGACCGGGTCGGGCCGGGCCGGGCGGGGCGGCCGGCCGGCGGGTGTACATAGGGGCTGCGGCGGGAGGATGGATGGATGCATGCAGTGCCGTCGTGGTGAGGTGTCCTTGGTGCCTTGTGTGGTGTAGAGCCCGGTCCCCTGTCTGCATGTGGGGGGTGCCTTACCGATCCGCTCCGACGACAGCGGCGACACCGAGACCGGAAAGTTTGCCCTCCCTGGTTTTAGTATGGCTGTACATTTCTGCCTATTAATATTGGGATTCTTTTTCTTCTTCTTTTTTTTTTTTTTTTTTTTTAGAGACTATATTTTTGTACGCACTGGTTTAGGGTTTTGGTTTTGGTGACTTAAAAGTGTTACGTTTGTAGTAGGACTTGGGACGGGATGTAAATACTCTGGCTGGAACCGACGCCCGTTGTTCGCCGGGGTCCGGCGCGCAGCAGGTAACACGAATAATGCACAACCACTAACGGAGGCTGGAAGGAGAGAGGATTTCTTTCCGGCCGCTCTGTAAATAAACTTTTCGACAATAGGGTAGGTGCTTACAACGTTTATAAAAGAAGACAAATAAATCTCTTAATTATGCTAAACTGACACATTTATTTCCGTAGGTCCCCTGGCCAGCCCCGGGGGGGGGGGGGGTGGTTACCCCCCTCCCGGCCGCGGGTGCCGCTGGGCGAACCGCATCGCCCCGGCGCGGAAAACCAGCGGCCGCGGCCCGGTGTACTGACACCCGCGACGCGGGCGAGGGGATTTCCCTCGGAGACGAGACGGGATGATATTAACCGGGGAGCGGGGTGGGTTTTTTTGACTCACTTTCTTTTGTGTTCCGTGGTTACAATCCGCCTCGGGCAACCTCCCCTAGCGGGCTCGGGAGCAGCGAGTGCTGCCGCCCCGACGGCCTCCCGGCGGGGAAAGCGGCTCCCGGAGTGCCGCCCGAGCTCGCCCTCGAGGCTCCAAGGGTCCCGGGCGGCGGCGCCCACCCTTCGGGACAGCTGGGCTTTTCTGCTGCACCCATCTGCCGCAACACCGCGCGGCTTTATCTTTTTTTAACCTATTTTGATTATTTGTTTTTAAGATGCCATCCTGGCCGTTCCCTGCCAGGGCCCACCCTCGGGCCCTGTCGTTGGTGCCACACAGGTGAGCCATGTGGGATGGACCTTGCCACTAACGCCACAGCCCAACACTGACGAGAACGGGGACAAGGCCCTTGCCCAGTGGCTCCCAGCCTCTGCTTGCCCCCGTGTTGGGTCCCACTGCACAAAGCCCCAGTGGCACCAGGCTTTTCTGTCTGAAACACCCTGCTCACTTACTACTGGCACTGGCACTGGCACTGGCTTTTGCTTGGGAAAGGCGGTCAGTAGTAGCTGAAACACTGTGTCTGATTTTGAAGCAGACAGAAAGCAGGCTTCCAAAGTGATTTTTGATTCTCCAAATCAAAAGCCAGGCACGGACCCGTCTGTATGGAATGGAGAAGTCACGGAATGATGCCAGCTCTACCACCCTGCCAACCACCTCAGCAGAGCAAGTAAGCCTTCACCTCTCCTGCTGCATCTGTTAGTGGGTTGCAGCTTTGCCACCTGATCCCATGAGCTCCTGGCTCCACAAAAGAGACCACGGTATGATGCTGGAGGGAT